TATCCTCGGTTTTGCTGGCCTTTTCATTACAAATACCAAAAAAGGCAGGCACAAAATATATGTAATTCTATTTATGTCCTCTATTTAACAATATTTATTATTTTTTGACAACACAAAAGTTAACCTCTTTTGGCATAATTCGCAAATAAATTCAAAAATTAAGCACCATTTTTCATATTATGCAAAAACATGGAATAGGTATTGCCAATTCACAAAGTTTCAATCAGGAGGAGTTGGCGTGATAGGAGTAATTTCACCTCGATTCAAAAAATTTGCTTATACAATGACTACTAGAATGAGATTTAAGATTTTTAATTTTACAGTTACTAGAACCGATTTCATTACAAAAACCTCAACGGTTAAATTTAAAAATTAGATTCATATGTACGAGAAAATTATGATTACCTTTGAGGAACCAAATCCCCATTTTGAGATTCTTAGTGGGAAGCAATGAATTCTTAACTCTAGGCAGAAGCTACTGTGCTATTGTAATGGGCACCATTGACACCCAAGCAACTCAATTCCACAGGGTTAACCTGAACGCACAAATTCAATAAAAAGCCATTATCAGTTAAGAATTCACATTGGAGTAATTTTTAATCAAGCATGTGGTATACAAACTCAAAATAATATTTAAAACAACTGATTTGGCTCAGCCAAAGATTAAACCCCGGAAATACAAATAAAAATAGCATAAAACAAACATACGTACATTTTTATAAACAATGGGATTTTTTTCATTATTGATTTTGGCAAGAGTACCTTGAGGTTTGATAAATATGCGCTTTAACTGAAGCACGAATGTTAGTGGGAGCCTGAGTTTCAAACGGCGATAAATTTTGGCTAATTGATGCTTTAAAGGCATTCGATTTGAGGGAAAAAGTTATTTTCCGTATAGGGAGACCGATTAATCTGGAGAAGAAAAAACATCATTGAACCTAGACATTTTTCTACAGAGATGCCGAAAGGGTTTTAGGCTCTTTTCTGTAAGGTTTTATGACTTTAAGATTGTGCTCACGCATGAAACTAGTTGCGTATTAACATGCCGCCTGACGTGTAAATGCGCCACTTCTGCGTTATGTTTTGCGTTCCGGGTTTTGAATTGTCCCACGCATTCAATCACTTGCCTTGTTTAATGGTTGTCTCTTTGACGTGGCAAATTTTTTAAAAGTTTTCCCATTAATTTCTTGATTAAAATACAAGACGAAAAGGCTTTCCATTTTTAATACATGAAATTTGTACCGAAAGTTGTTTTTTTTTTAAAACTAAAACTCTCTCTATATCTCATCTCCCTCGTCATCATATCTCTTTGGCATCTTTTGTTCGAAGTTAGACACCCTCACTTATTTGCCAGAGATTTTATGTTCTCCTGAGCCCCACTACATACTATCTAGAAACAAGGGTAACTTTTAACCGCTAATAGATTTTGATTATTTCTGCGAATAGCAAGTCCATGTTAAAGAATAATAACACCTTTTGTTGAATCCATCAAATATTTATTCACCCATTTACATATTCAAATTGAACCAAAAATCTATTCACTTCTTCCTTATTTTTATTAAAAAAAAAATTTATCACAATTCAACCCAATTTGCATGTGAACATTTTGTTTTCTTCTCTACAAGGGGAACTATTACATTCGGTTGGCCAAACAAGGAAAAACACCAAATTGGGGACCAAATAAGACCAAAAAAAAAAAAAAAATACATAAATAGTTATATTAAAATGTGGAAAAAAAGAAAGATAAAGTTAGGAAACAAATGAAAAAAAAAAAAAAAGGAAAAAAAAAAGTGCAATCCAATTCACCCAAGGATCACCATGCTACCAAGGCACTTTCAGAGTAGTTTTTTGTAGGCTTGAATTTTTTGCCAATATCAACCAGGTCTCCAAATAGCTTACTCTTCGTGGCTTGTTTGGCTTCTTTTAATGGGCATGTAAGATGAAGGTGGTGGGAAAACCTCGTAATTCGGAGTCTTCTAGCGCTATTTGTCATCTCTAATAGAGAGTCCATACCATTCGCTGGGTCAGGGTACTGGGGCCCACCACTTGTTGGGTTGACATTAAATCCCAACTATCCTGCCATATGGTTTGCCGATACATTTGGTCCGCCCTGTTGGATACATAGAAAGCCATCTGCCCAGCTTTTGCATGGCATTTGCTGTGGCTGTGGCTGTGGGAGCGATACCCATTTATACTGTCCTCCCTGAACTGCTTTGACGGATGCAAACCCCATATGGATTGCTGTGTTATAGGGCTGGGGACTTATTAAATGGCTGTGGTATTGGCCGGTTGTTAATTAGGCTAATGTACATACCCAACTTAAATGATCATTCCCTTGGCGATTTTGCATAACTGTGGATGCAATTTGTCCACTTGGCACGGGTTTGCTGGCATGTGTCACAATACCACCTGAGTAACTTGCATCGGTGGTTGAGGGGTTGATTGGAGTGGCCAGCTACAGGCTGCCCGGGGTATCTTGCTGCTTGTGTATTCCCATGGAGGTTGAGGTAAGTGATCCAACTGCTTTGAGCCACCTTTTCCCAGTATTTCCAAAAAAGTAAGCTTTAGTAAAATTTAATGGTAAACATAATAACAAAAGCAAAATGTGGTTTTTTCATGTCCATTAATTCCATGAACTGCGTTTTTTATTTTGGCGTTTTGGGTTTAAGTTGTTCCAAAAAAAAAAAAAACGTTGAAAAATGCTGCATCAGGAGCCGGTTTGATTCTTTAAAAGTGAATTTACCCCAAGTTCTATATTCTAAATCACCAAAGTTTTTACAGAACTAGAAAAGCACTCAGCCGAACTGTTTTTCTTCAAACATCATCTAGAATGGTACTTTTCTTCACACAAAAAAAGAAAAGTCACAGTATATTAATGCAAGGTTAGTTTAGGTGTTAAACAAGGAAAATCATTTGACGTGCATGGCTCTAAAACAAAAGGAATATCAGTACTACTTTAAACTTTTTTGAACATGCAGTATTCTTCCATCTATCCCTACTGGGTAAGAGAACGGGCAGCCTATAAATAGGGATTATTATTTGCAGCCCAAATACTAAAAGGACGGATTTAAAAAGAAAAAAAAAAAAACGCTACCAAAAAACTGGGGAGGTTGGGCTGTTTGCTGGCTGGAGCAAAACCTTGGACCATTCCACACTAGGGACCATTGGGCTTGGCCATGTAACAATTGCATGCTCATAATCGTGTGCGAATCTCCATATTAGGGGGCAGTTTCCTTTAGGTACCATTCCAGCTTCCTTGGGGCGTTGAAAAATTATGGTTGGCTGTTGAACACTTTGTGGAGCCAAAGAGTTGGTTGGTCCAGCCCGAATGGACCCAGGCCTTGCACGATTGACCAGCATTTGGGTGGATAGTTACCATCAGTGAAAAACATATCCAAAAGGAAACAAGTGCCATTCTGACCTTGAGGATGGTAGGTGGTTTGGGCTGTGGCTCTTCCCACAGGAACAAAGAGCTAGTGAAAGTATCAGCCTTTTGGTGAGCCAGCCAAAGTCATCTCCAACTCAAAAACAGTGTCCCCACTCAAACAGGTCCCAGTTCTTGGGCGCATGGCAGCTGCTTGAAGTAGGTTAGGACCATTTAGTTGCAGGACAGGGTGCTGGAGAGCCAAAGGTTGGTTCAGGGTACACTAGAAGGCTGGAGCAAGATTCTAGCAGTAAAAACCCATGTCAGTTTTTTTTTTTTCCAAGGGCTCTTTTTTTTCCAAAAACAAAAAAAAAAGAAATTTTGAAGCAATTTCAAGGTTTAACTTAACCCTTTCAGAAGTTTTTTTAAATTTTTTGACCAAAATATTGACCAGCTCTAAATTCACTGACTAGAAGTAGAATGTGCTCTAGAACGCTTCTATTAACTTAAAAGGCCATACAGATACAGTTCCTATAAAGTCCAATGGGCCACCCAAACCCCATTTCTACCTGTTGTAACACACATGTTAGGAAATCCCACTACTTAACTAATGATTGTACAAATATTCCTCAAAAAAGCATAGGTTATTTCAAGTTTACGCCTATACAGCCAAACCATATATTTTCTAAAAACAAGTGCTCAAGAATTAATTTTGAAAATACAGTCTCACGTAATTCCAATTTTGACTCCCCTGAAGGACCACCTAGACTTTTTACCTGAAAAAATACTCCTAACTAACGCCAGGCAACCGAGCATTTAATACCCCCAAACAACCATTGCTTGGATAGGAAAACCAACAAACTTGAAAAAATTTCAGGCCACAGATCATACCCATATGTAAACTTCATATGATTCATTAGGAATAAACCCACTACTTACTCACCCTCAGGCAGAACGGTTCTTATGTGGTCTTCCAGTGTCACACTAGGCGGACCATCAACATTCCCACAATGTGCTCCACCAGATTGCAGTCTTTGTTTCTGAATTTTGATGCCGACCTCCAGAAAGGTTCCCTGAAGCCAATGGCTTCATGGCTTCCCAGCACCACGCTGCAAAATCACTCATTCCATGCAAGGCCCCTGGCATAGCAATGATTTCCAATCCCTGAAAAAGATGAATTGATGTATGTATTAAACCATTCATGTCTGAGTTAGACTTATAGCAAATATGCCCCAATTCCTCCCCACAATTCCACAGATCATTTTGGAATCAAACAAACTTGAAATTATTAAGTTTTTAACCTCAAAAATATTTTAGTTTCCAGATGTAAACAAACGTCAAAGCTTACACAAGTCGGATCTTTGATGCAGAAACATATACAAGCAATATGGATTAGATCCAGATTATTACCAATTCCTATAGCCATATCCCAGAAGGGAATAAAATGCAAACCAGTATGACATCATCCAAACCAGAAAAACAATGATAAATTTTACCGCAAAAGTGGTTGAATAAAAGAGGAAACAATCGACCCAGCAGTTACAGCTAAAATAAATTAAGCAACAGAAAGTATACATAATTAAAGACGACACTTACCGAGTAGTTGACCATTGACAAGGTGTAACCACTCTTTTCTGTGTATTGGATCGATGGACACTAGTTCCACCCCAGGTCAACCAATAACCTCCTGCCTAAGTCCCCGTTACCAAATATCGGGAAAATATGTAGCCCAGGCACAGTGGAATAGAGATGAAACATTGATGTGATTATGAATTTTATGAATTTGCAACAAAAAGAAAAAAAAAAAAAAAAAAAAAAAAAAAAGGAAAAAGAGATAAACGCCTCAATATCGCAAAATTCTGAAACACATAAAAAAAAATGTGATCTGAAATTACATCGGATTATTAAAAACAGTCCAAACCAAATGCACAAAAAAAAAAAAAACAAATTGATTTTCAAATTTTTAGACACCACTGGGCTGTTTTACGGTATTGCCTATTAACGGATCGCTCGAGACCACTGCACCACCTATCATGCGTCATCAGCTCTGCCACAACTAGGACCAAGAACTCAATTCAGATATCCAAGAGACTGATAATAAGATTGGACAAAAGGATTTACAACTATTAGTCGTCTTCTAACTCACAGTCTTTATATTAGTCTTGTCAGTTGGTTAAGAAAGCTGTTTTCTTGGCAGAAAAAACTTGGAGTAGTTTATCTGACAAAATAGAATTTCATCCTTGTTACAACACTATAGTCAGTTTTCCAAAATTTAACGACACTTAAGATTGTTGGAAAAAACACACGACCGTCTTGAGTTGTTTTCTAAACTAGTTTCCTCTATAAAAAAAAAAAAAAAAAAAAAAAAAAAAAGGAAAAAGAAGCTAATATGCCAAAAATTTTGAACACATAAAAAAATGTGATTCTGATATTTAAAATCCACAAATGCACAAAAAAAAAAAAAAATTGATTCAAATTTTTAGACACCACGGGGCTGTTTACTATTGCTATTAAGGACTCAAGAGGATATAATGACAAAGGATTCATATAGTCGTCTCTAACTAGTTTTATATAGTTGTAGTGGTAAGAAGCTGTTTTCTTGCAGAAAACTTGAGTAGTTTTTATTGAAAAATAGAATTTCATGTTCAACTATGTCAGTTTTCCAAAATTTAACTAAGATTTGAAAAATAAGTTTGAGTTGTTTTCTAAAAGTTTCCTTTATAATGAAAGTAATTTTTCCAATTGTTCTATATATATAAACTTTTTGATAATTAAAATCATAAAATACATAGAACTTTTTTTGAGAAAATATTTTTATTGGAAAATAATAAAAGGATATTTAAATAACTTAAATAAATGTTTTTTTTATTTTATATTATGTCTTAATATGTTATTATATAAAAATATATTTATTTATGTAACATTTTTTCTAAAAAATTTACAAAGTGGTACAAAATTAATATTATTGTTATAAATAAATCAATAATACATATTAAAAAATTTTAAAATAAAAAAGTTCGTAAATTTATCTTATAATATTTTAGTTATTTTAATTATGAAAGTAATGAATAATTTTTTAATTTTTTGAATTGAAATATTATTTTTTATTGTTAACAAGGGAACTTTTATATTTTCTATTTTTCATTTTTAAGAAAACTGTTTTTATTAAGTAAACACGTCATAAGTGTTGCCCACCAAATTATCTAAGTAATAGAAAGTTTTACCATCCCAATGTCATGGAAAATTACCTCTTTGTTTCCCGGATCTAATGCACTTAACATCTCTGCAAGGACATCCATGATACCTCGCGCATTCTGAATTTCCGTCAAGCTAGTAAAAGAAATTTCAAATTAAAAGGAAAAAAATGCCATTATAACCACTACTAAGAAGCCTCAAAGGACGAATGAAAAATGTAGTGCAACTGTCAACACTTCAACAGAATAAGAAGGTTTTATTTGTTTTCATATTATGATTGCTCTAATCAATGGAATCAAATAACTATTTTTACTTAGAGCATATACTAAAATCAACAGTGCAAAGCAATCAAGGGTAGCACTTGAAGATCCTGTGTCTCACCGATAAAGGATAGAGATTGTCAGAAGCATTTCAGACCTTCCCAGTATACAAATTTTACTGAATTTTTCTTTTTCCTCTGCACCTCAGACTTAATGTAAGAATTAGGTTCCTCATCCACAACAATTGGATCCATGAATCTAAGAAATAATGAGAATTCTTGATCTCTCTCAATATCTCTCTCAGTTGCTGTGGTCTTTACACAAAGTACAGTCAGAAGGGGACTATTGCAGTGCCTCTTACTCATTTTACCACTTCTTTTTATATAAATTTCCATTTGCACGAAGAACAGTTGCATTAAGCTACACTAAATGATCAAGTAAAACTTGTCTGCACCAACAATGCTGGAATAAACAAGTATTGCAATCAGTCCAGTGAAATTTTATTTATGCAAGATGATGTTAACATGATTTGGTTTAAAACAAAATTGATAGATATACTAACAAAGTTTTTATACCATCAATCATATATAACTCAGAAGGAGAAGATCATGGAAAGAAACCCAAAAAAGGGCATACCAATTAATCAAGTAAGTTGTACGTTATACTCAATTTTGGTACCAAAGGAGGAGTCCAGGATATACCTCAATGCTGGAAAGTCAGCCTCTGCAGAAGTCTCCGCTGCCTCTGGCCGATACTCCTTATTCCGTAGATTTTGAGGATAAGATGACAGAGGTTGTGTTTGTGGAGGAGTAAATACAGGTGCAGACCTCTCAGACCTCTGAGGAAACACTGCCCCAGCACGCTGAAACAATGAGCAAGTTGATTCAGAACATGTACAGAAATGGCAACATTATAATCACCCAAACCACTTGGATAACAGCATTAAATGATAAATTGACAAAGATGAATTTTAGCCAATCATTGATGATTCTTAAACAAATACTGCAACATCCAGCTCATGACCTCAACAAGGATCTACAGTAAAAAAACATACCAACAACTCCTGGTATGCGGCATAATATTGTGGATATCTTGCCCTTGGTCCACCAAAAGCTTCTTGCCAGGTATCAATTAGAGTCAGTATCTTCTCTTTGACATGAAAGTCAGGCTACAAATGAGCAGCATAAAACACTATAAACAAGTTTTACCAAAAGAAATAAATATAACATAGGAGAGCAACCAAAATCATATAAAAATATTCTCACCTTTTTCTTCACTATCTTCACCATGTCGTGAAGAAGATCCTTCTCTGCAACATGCATGTGAACAATGTCCCCACAATTCTTTACAATCGTCTCCAATAGCTGGAATATAGCATCCAGATCGAAAATTAAAACAAACTTAATCATCCGGGGATTGTTGTTGAAAATGAGTAACTGTGATCTTGGTTTAGCAAAAATAAATATCCTCATTCTAAAATTAATTGTATAAACAAACTCTCCAAAATAAATCCGAGCATCCAATTTAGTTTTTAACTTCATCATACTATTTCAAATGAAGCAAATAAGAATTACAGAAAGAACAGACTCTCTCTCTCGCTGTGGTCCAAGCATACCCTTCTTTTAATATGAAATGGTTGGATGTCCAAGAAATATATCCAAGGAAGGATGTTAGGTTCCTCAATTCCACAGGCAATTAAAATGTTATTTATTAATCTATAGAATAATGAAATCAGTTCTACATCACACTCCCAGGTGAGTGGCAAGTAAAATCTTATCAATAAATTATAAGGGGAATTTATCTTTCTTTTTCCAACTTGAAAAGAGAAAACGACTTGATGTCAAAAAGTCTGATCAATTTGATGTTGGCTAAATGCTGAATCACTATAATCTTAACTTTTCAGGCACTCTTAAAATAAAATTTGCAAAAGTAAAAAGAAAACAAAGTGTTTTGAAGCTTACTGTTAGGGCAAGAAGTTGAACTTTCGAATTCTTACTTCCAATGCGCTTCTTTATACCTTTAACGACATCCTTTGCTTGTCTGATAAGCCAAAATAAAACCAAAAACTCCAAATTTAGGAAACTGAACAAGTTCTGGTGTCAAGCATAATTAAAAATAGTTTTCGAAAAGCAACAAAAATATAACCAGTAAAGTGAGATATTTGGTATAATTCATGAGAGAGGTTTGATGGTGACAAAGCACTTTCTAAGGATTAGTTGAAGAAGTTGGACAATATTTGAAGAATAAGTTGATAAAGCTATTGTAAGAGAGAAAATACACAGATATTGTCATACTGCACTTCTGCAAAAGGTGAAAGAAAGAGCTGTATTGAATAATTGGACATTATCAAGGACTTTACTTCATGTGCAAACGAGGTCTCTTGAAAACTGGGGTTTTGGGGATTTTCAAAAACATAAATTACCATAAAAACCTTCTCCTCTCTTGAATGTCTTTCCCAAACAACCCAAAAATTAAACCTATCTTACCTTACCTTCAAAAACCTCCAAACACCCTCTATCCAAACAATTCTCTAAGGAGTAAGAGGGGTCAACTTACAAGATTGGGATATTATTGAATTTTCATCTGCAACTTGCTAAAAACACCATTCCTTTTGTTTTTACTTTAAATTTTGAGAAAGTTTCATATAAGGAATTCATCACCTTGCTGTGTGTCTGTTCATACCATGAGAGGCTTTTGACTTAACTATGAATTCATTTACAAGCTAACCTGTGCTTGTAACTTTTTTGCTATCCTTTTTATTCCAGAAAAACAACTCCATGCTCCTATTCCAATCAGGATTCATTGCAATTACTCCAAATAAAACAAAAACCTAATTCAAAATAATGAAAACCATATGACAATTACCAACTATTATATCCAATCTCTAAGCTTCCAACGATTATTTTAAATTTAAAGAGCATGATTCTTTTCCTAAAGCAAATCTCTGCTGCACTTTAAGTTGCAGCAGAACATAGTAGGACAATTAGTGAATATTAATTTCCTTTTCCACATTCATTATGAACTTAATGCACGGAGATAGAATCCACCTGTCCATGCATAAAGCTAACAGAAATGGGAAAATTCAATGGCTATGTTATTTAGAGGATCAATTCAGAATGCGAATCCATATAAAACATTCATAAGCCCAGGAAAACAGAAAATTACATACTAACAAAAGGTTTCTCATCATCCAAGCAAAAATTAACTGTTCGATCAAACTACTCCATCTCCAACAGATTCATTTAGAAAAACAAGAACATATCGTGTAAAGCAGTTACAAATATAATTTAAAATGCATCAGAATTGATCATAAAGTAATCATAAGAGATTATAATAACGTGCGGAGCTTACGCAGGGTCATGATTGCAAATATCACAGATCTCGATATTCATGGCCCAGTCAGGCCCGATCAACATGTCACTCGTGGCCCGTTCCACCATAGAATTCACCATCTCTGCTTTTCTTTTTGTTATCTTCTCGTTTCAAACTCAAAAGATCGATATCCTATCCCCGACTGGACACACCTTTCTCCGTCGAGATCGCAACCAATTATTCTATTTCACGTGCAATTCCGGCGAGTAACTTTGTAAAGCAATCTTTGCGTCCAATCTAATTAGGTATCCTCTTTTCTCTCTCACAAAACTTTCTCTCTCTAGATCGAATAGCTCGAACAGAACAGTCCTTTATGGAAGGACACCCTCTCTCTCTCTCTCTCTCTCTAAAAAGTTCTCTGTTAGATAAAAATCAAATAATTTCTTTTCTTTTTTTTTATTTTTCTCCGTCCGGGGAATTTTCCTTTTTTTTCTTTGTCCTGTTTCCGTTGAATTATTTTTGGGAGGTGGGATTTGAAAATTAGGACCAATAATAGAACGACACGTATGACATAACTGAGTCCCCGCCGAGCCGCACTCTGGCGTGTATCTCTCTTTGTACCGTTCCTTGACCGACCACTTTTCATCTAACGGTTTCTATCGTTTACACGGTGGTTTATGTGGGCCACCACTCACATAATTAAATTGTACAAACGACACCGTTTATTTGCTATGTAAAATTTTAAGGTAAAATTTATTTAGTATTTCAAATTTGGTCAAAATTAATGCCTCCTATTTCTATTTTAATAAACTAACTTATTTATCCTTTGTGTTTCTATTTTGATAAAGTAACTTATTCATCTCTCTTCAAAAAAAAAATTAACTTATTCATCCTTAAAATTTAACACCGTCAAATCTTTATTCTTTAGTATCAAATGTGTGTGATATTATCGCTCTTTCTCACTATTATGAAAAGTGAGAGGTCAAAAAAGTTTTCATCGATTTAGTTGGTGAGTGAAAGAGAGTTTAATAGTCTTTTATGTTATTTTCAGCCCATTGAACATCCTAGTAAATAAAAAAAAAAACCTTAATCTTTAGTCTTTCATAGGAAAAAAATGCATTTAGTGTTTAATTTTTTATATTTACACAAATACTATGAATTTAATCTTGTTCAAAATTCACAATGACCCATTTATTCTTTTTTATAAATTTTTGTACCTATTAAACTCTTAGATCTTATTATTAATTTTTAATGAAAGACTAAACAAATACATTTACACACGAGTCTTTTGAAAAAAAAATAAAAATAAGAAATATAAAACATATGGCTCTTGAGTATTGTAAGCTGAAATATTTTCTGTTTAAATTAAAAAAAAAAAAAACTGATTTTATTTTAAAATTTAAGGCGATAACCCATTGGCAAGCATCAATAGCTACACCGCAGCCATCGCCCGAATATGGGTGGACTCTCCCAAGCTGTCTCGAGTTTGGAATAAATAAATGGTATCCGGTGGGAACATAAGAAAACAAAATAAGCATCACTTTTTGCAAAGCAATGGCTTAGGTAACAACTAAACATGAAATTGAAATCAAGCGGCGCAGTTGGCTTTTTGATATCAGCGAAGCTACTGTATGATTATCAAAATTCGTCTGTTTCTCTCATTTTATTAATAATATACATTAAGGTTCCATCATTATGGTAATATATAAAAATATACTTACATACATAACATGCATCCAACTGCTTGTTTTATTTTAGATATTTTATTTACAGCTTCATACTCCTATTATATAATTATAGATGGAAAAAATTATTTACATTTTCAAACTAAAACTTCTCATTTTTTACATTTTTTATGAGAGATAGAAAGACTAATTATAATTAATATTTAATCATTACCGATTGGAGGAGACACTGTGAAATCCCTAAATTTATAATTATGTAATCGTAAAGTCTTTCTAGAAGAAAGTACCCTTTTTTGCCGGTAGAAACCTCTTAAACATTGACTATTTAGTAATTTAAGTTTAATATGATATTAATGATACTTTTAGACAAAATGGATTAAATAATTTAACGGTTCAAAAAATTAAGGAAAATCCAGTTATTTATTCAAAATACAAAAACTAAATATTCCCTCCATCCCAACAAATAACTCATTTTTTCTTTTTTGGTTTGTTTCAAAATATAATCTATTTTCATTTTTTACATTATAGTTAATCGTTTTAATATTCATGTGTTATTTAATATGTACATAATAAAAAAGTTATATGAATAAAATTATCCTTTAATTATATTTCTTAATTTATGTGAAAATAAAAAGTGAGTAAATAGAATCAAATCTAAAAGACTAGATAATGATTTAGATTTTTCTTTCACAATATTCTATCTTTCCTTTCTGATAAAAATTAAAATCTTTTAATTCTTCAAACAAAAATCTTCTAAATTTGTTATACATTTATTCAAAGAGAGGGAAAAAATTGGACTAACACGCCAAAATTATTTCTCAGAGAAAACGGCATAACAAACTATTAAATTATTTCCTTTTGTTGTTCCGCGCCGCGTCGTCTGGGAAAAATGCGGGTATTACCTAGTCGTTGGAACAAACGAGTTTCCGCTAGAATCACTGGAGAGAACTTTTCCTGTTGTTGAACAACAAAAATTTCCGTGGAAATATTTCCATCGAATATTACTTTGAAAATTTTCAATCCCAGTGGACCAGTCCTTCTGCTCATCGAGCTTAACTTGCTCACAAAAAATATTCTTCAAAACAAAAATCAACTTATACACATAAAATTTTATTTTATAAGGAGCCATTCAACTCAAGTACAGGAATCTTCGGCTTCCAGCCACACCAAGCTCTGCAGGCTCGAAAAGTGGGTTCAACAACAGCTTTGTCTGTTTGAAATCCCAACTTGCAATATCAGAAATAATTGAGTTAGGGAACTGGCACTCGAACTGTTGCAGAGCCAGATTTCATATCCTCCAATATAAGATTCAACAGAGACAGAGTTATGGGACCTTCTTTGCCTTCAGAAAAACATGCATCACAATTTATTGGTATTCAATGTCAGAAAATTAAAACTCTCATATTTGTTTACAGAATTACATGAAAAAGAATGTTGATATTAAAGAATTCAAGCATAGAGTAACTTTAAGCATTACGGGGAGTTTTTAAATTGGAATATGAACATGACTCTTGCCAACTCAAGTCAAGCGAAGTGTAGTGAGGAAGTAGGGGAAGAATTACTAGAGACAAGGCTAAGTGAAGTACTTCTCTTTTCTACTTCCAAAGGACATGCTTGAATTAAACTGACGGATATGATTGGCTTTCTTTAGATATATGTCAGGAAAAAAGCAGTGTGTACTTCATTCAAATATGATAATCTATTTCTACAGATTTTAATTGCTGAAAAACTCAAATTCAATCATTTGTTTTTTTTTTCCCCACAGCAAAGTTTAAGAGAACTGGTAATAGTTCAATACTGAAAAAGATGCATATGTTCATGTAAATCTTATTTTTGAAGAATGCAAAAAAAAAAAAAAAAAAAAAAATGAGAAAGATGCATATGTTCAATGCTATACTTATTCTTTTGAAGAAATGCAAGAAAAAAAAAAAAAAAAAAAAGAAAGTGGGACTACCAATCAACCGATGATACTGCTCCGTCCCACTGCACAACCGAGGGCGAACAAGAATCCCACTGCGCCCAAATAAGCATGCATCCTCAAATCCTGCTCTTTTTCCTTTGCCTCTATCAGTCCACAAGTTACTTACCTTTGAAAAAAAAAAAAAAAAAAAAAAAAAGAAATGGGACTTACCATCACCGATGATCTGCTCGTCCCACTGCACAACAGGGCGAACAAGAATCCCACTGCCAATAAGCATCATCTCATCTGCTCTTTTTCCTTCCTCTACAGTCACATTACTTACCTTTATACCGTGAAGTTTACCCTCCCTCACCAGTCCTTCAGACAGAGTTAAAACTCTCTTAGCTGTGCAACCACTCAAAATTTTGTCAAAGGGAGGCATCACAAGTTCTTTTTCCTTATTAACAAATGCCACATTCATGTTAGGCCCTTCCGCAATGAACCCTTCATTATCAAGCCAAATGGCTGCAAAGGCACCATTCTCTTCAGCTTCCATCTTTGACAGCACATTCGGAAGATAATTTACACTCTTCATGGTGGCAAATTGTGGGGGTTTTATTGGGATAGATGAAGTTATTACCTTAACACCTTTTGAATCAAGCGGAGATTGATCTTGTATAACAATAGCATAAAGAGCTGGCTGATGGCAGCTGAATGGAGACAACTGGAAATCACCAGGTCCCACCGAGAGCCAATATCTTAATGATCCTTTCTGACACTTGGAAGCACTCACTGTTTGTATGAGTATTCTTTTTATAGTTTCGCGATCAAAAGGGAGATCGATTTTGGCCATGGATGCTGACCTCAGGATACGGTCAAGGTGTTGATCCAATTCATATAGATGCCTGAGAGATTTAGAAATATGCAAGCGGAAGATTATCACTTAAATAGTGATTATTAGCTTAATACGCACTAGAGCGACAAAATTTTGCTGGCAATCAGAATGCCTATTGCGATTGCTGAAGGCCATTGTCTATTTTTTCTTAACATCAGCAGTATATAATGATTCAATAAACATAGGATGTGAAGATACAAGATTAAAAGAATAGAGTGATGGAAGATCATGCAAAAGTATATTTCTCAGCTCTCAGGAGAGCTGTGAATTGCAGAAAAATTAAACATTTAGAAATATAAATTTGTTATTTCTCTACAAATTAATACTTACCCATCCATTATTGCAGCAGTATCAAAGACACCGTGGCCCCTGTGCACCATGTGATCATCCATGGGTATCACCATAGCTGCTGGATCTTTTATTATTCCACCAAAAATGCTGGAATACATAGCTAGATATTGCTGCTTCCCTTTTTGCTTTTCTCTGTTAGTTCGTAGCCTTTCAATAGCCTTGAAAATCACAAACATAAATGCCCAAGAAATATAAAATTCCTAAAGTAATCACAAAACTGCCTAATTTTGCTAACCAATGCATATTAGCATCAAGCAACAAAAAGGAAGAGTAATATAATAGGGACGGAAAATAAACCTCTGCACAAGTCAGAATCGGCACATCAAATGCTTGAGTAGGAGAATCTGCCACCAAAAATTATGATGTTTCTTAAATTTTCAAATAGCATATAATAATTGATGGCCTAATTAACTGATTAATAAATTAACCAAATGATCAGAATAAAATATAAGACTTGCCAACCGAAGCCTCAGTTTGATAAGAACAACTAACGATCATCGGTTCTTTGTTCGACCCAGCTCGAAAACAGTGATACCCAGTTCTCTGAAATGAAAGATTTTTCGATATTTGACGCGAATTATGCAAATGATCGGCGATATGCGGGAGTTGAGAGATGGGTTTTAAGAGAAAAGTTGAGGCCGCCGCCATGGAAGCTAAAAACTGTGATGCTTTTTGGAATTGCAGAGGAGACCGAGCTTATACAAAGAACACAATGTAATTGTTTGTGCCTTGATGGGTTGATTTATTCGATATTGGGGTGTAGTTGGCTGCTATTGTTAACTGAGAAGATTCCAATGGAACAGACAGTTTTATATCGTGGGGTAGTAGTCGTTAATATAGAAACAAGTGCGTTTATAATACAGGAATACGCAAATAACACACCCTTTCGGTGGCGCGTAAACACACTCGAGACGAGTCATCTTGAATTTAATTATTATTTTTTATTTGAACGTCGAATTTAGTTATTATTTAATTCTCAAAATTTAACTTAATTCATGAATAAAATTTTTTATTTTAAAATTAATTAATAAGTTTCTAAAGCTTTACTTTCAAGTTATTTTTGCTGATTTTTTTGAAAGGTAAATTATTTTCGCTAAATTGGACAACATTAACATAAGTAATAATTTATAAAAATGTAAGTTTTATAATTAAATTTTATCTAAATTTAAAGATTAATCCTCTTACTACTTCTGCCACACGATAGAAAGAGCTAGATCGAACTTGCTAAATGATTTGTAGTAAGACTTGTAATTGGAACGAGCTTTCACCCGTTCTTGCTTCAAAATAATTTGTGAATTATAGTAAATTAAAAAATAATAATTAATTAATATAATATAATTTGATCCAAATAAAAATAACAGAGTCCTTATTTCTTATCAATTTGAATTTTATTTATTGGAACATTATAAAAATAAGGTGTAATATGTCTTTATGTACTAGTAGGTGTCACAAAATTTCACATCAAATAAACATATATCAAAATTAACATGAAAAGTAATTTATTTTTAAAATTATTTATCAAAGAATGTGAAGATTTAAGAGAGGAGATGAAATAAAAAAATTACTAGTGTCACTTTAAAAGTAAATTAAAATTAAAAAAAAGTTACAAATTACATTGAAACTACTAATTAGAAAGTACAATAGCGGTTTCAACAACATACTATCGCTGATCAAAGTAAAATACATGAAGTCGGTATTTTTATTTTTTATGTAAAATAGTAAATAAAATTTTTTTAGGAATATTTTTTTATTTAATTGGAGTTGTTAATTTCTTCTAAAAAAAAAAAATGATAATGATATCTCGATACTGACTTTGAATTATAAATTCTGTTCAGACGGTGGGACTCGCGAGTTGCCAATTCACAATCGCGTCGTGCGTGATTTATGAAAAGGTACGCTCCGCCACACCGGCTCACCCGCCAAATACCCAGCGCATGCGTGATGCGTGCGATTGTAAGGCAGTGCACCAAAGAGAAAGTAACGGCTCAACATCACCCAACTTTCTATCCTCTTCAGCTTCAAGGCGCAACTTGCCCATTGTCCCCCCAAAATCGTCTAATTCCAACAAAGATCGATCAATTATATTCTTCAAAGTTGACAAATTTCAACACCACAGGCTTCGAATTGGTTCCATTTCCGTCCAAATGTGTGCTTTGGAGCTTTAGACAGTATCACCGCCGACTTAATTAAACCTAGGGTTTCCTCGGATTCCAAGAAGCTCAATTCAGCGACCAGTTGTTGGATTTCACCGTAAAACTATAATAAAAACCCTAACTGGAATTTCTACAAATTTTAAATTAGCTAAACACCTTCACGTGCTTTTGTTTTCTTTCGCTTTGGTCCTCTTAAATTTCCTTCTTGTTAGATCCAATGGCGATTCTTAGCGACGCTCTGCGTCAAGCTTTCATGCCTAAACACGAGTACGAGAGCCTTCGCGAGGAAGACAAAGCATGGATCAAGCTGCAAAGGCCAATATTAATATCTATTGTTGTCTTCATTTGCCTTGTCATTCTTATAAGCACAGTTGTGAGCTTGAAGATTGTGTTTCCTGGTAATGGCGGGAAGAGGCCGTTTTGCAGTGACCGTAGACTTCAGCCTTTGCAATTCAATACGAAGGGAGGTGATTCGGATCTGTTTCCTGGTGCGTTTTATCTCACGGATCAAGAGACTGTGGATTATTACTGGATGGTTGTGTGTATCCCTTCAACGATTATTTTCTTGGCATCAGTTGCATATCTTGGGGCAGGTAAAGAGTGTTTATAGATTTTCCCGAGGAAAAGTGTTTAGCATCAATTTGTTTATTTTATTGAAATTGAAAAGTGTATGAATTAGATACTGGTGTAGATTTTAAGGTATTTGTTCCTGTAAGCGTTCATTGATTAGAAATTTATGATTGCCAAAAATTTGTATTGAATACAAAAATGGCTTACTCTAAATTATCTTTATCTTTTTTTGTCTTGCATCATGACACTCAAATCTTGTTCAACAAAATGTTAAAAAGATGATGGGAATTTTGTTTTGCCTTTGATGGAGTTTTATGGCTTTTCCTTTCTGGATAAATATAATAACAACATGTGCTTTTTCAAACATGAATATTTATGAACCAAGCCATAGTTGCAAAAGGTCCTTTTTTTTCCTTAGATTATTCGTCCTTGTTTTAGTTCTCAGTCTTAAATGTTTTCTTATGGACTTTTGAGTGCCATGGATTAAGCGCTTAACAAGAGATGATCTTAGCGGTAACCAGCTTTAAATAATGCAGCAGCATATGTTAGATGAATTCTTTTTTCCTTTTTGGAAGAAGATATGGGGTTTTGGAATGATTTTTATGTCAACAGAAAATTCTCAAGTATACCATTCTATTTATATGAACACTCATATTAAGTGAGTCAAGTGGTGTTATTGTGGAATAAATTGTTATGGGAATGCCCTTTTGTTTTGGTATTTATGTAGAACTAAGATTCTACATTGAGAGGTAGTTGGTTCTGTAGTCGTTGTTATTCACTATCTCATGGTTTTACTCATGATGTAGGGATAGCTGTTGCTTATTCTGCTCCGGCAAGACATGGATGCTTAAAGGTGGTTGAAAATAATTACTGTGCTTCAAAAAGAGGTACATTCTAAACTTCTAATTACTTTGAGTGTTTTGACTTTATGATGTCCTTGTTTAATAGGTTTTTTCAATAGCCTAGGCATGCTGGACGGATGCATTTATAAGCTTTAGTTGGGAAATTAGGTTTTAACACTATTGCCTCTCCTGTTTTACGGGATCGAAATAGGGTTGAAATGAAATAGTTATTCCATGCCCTTGGAATAACCGTCTTCACCTATATTTGGAGTTTTTGGTCTGCAGATTTTAAAGTATGAAATTTATATACTACTTTCAACCAAAGTCGAAGAAAGACTGTTAAATAATATATTCTGTGAATGATTATTCCCCATTTGAAATCGGACCAAAAGCTATTTAAATGGAATAATTATTCTATTTCATTATTTTCATCTTATTTCATGCTATTCCATGAACTAAAAAATCATGTCAGTTCTTAAAGAAAGAGAAATGAAGGAAATGATTCTACATGCATGGAGGTTTTCTTATTTCATGTTGTTGAAAGTGTTGTCTGCTGCTGTTGCTCTATCATTGTGTGGTGGAAGTTACTTCCTTCCAAACATACGAGCAGTTCTGGCACCTTAAATAAATATTGAACAGGAAGTTTGGGAGCAACAGATTTAGAGAGTTTTGCCAGGACATACTGAAAGGACACTACCAATATATTAGTAATAGCAATGCTTGTGTTTTTCAGGAATCATTAAAGACGTGATTTCTATTTGCTTCGTGTCTTTAGTATGCGTTTGATATCCAATCCAAGGTCATGCTCCAAGGAGGAGTTGTAGGGAAGAGATATCTGGATTTTGTAGTTATACATATTAAAATTTTGTTATGTATCATGCAACTGTTTGGTTAACGAAGTTGTTCTGTTAATTTGAATACCTTGTGACTTTCTTCATGTGATTTTTAAAGGTGGAGTACGCTGCCTGTCCATTTTGAATATTGTATTTGCCATCATCTTTGGTCTCCTTGCTCTGTTCCTTGGTTCAAGCCTCCTGACACTAGGGAGTAGTTGTTCCTTACCTTTGTTTTGGTGCTATGAGATTGCTACGTGGGGGCTAGTCATTTTATATGCGGGAACTGCCTTCTTTTTGAGAAGAAAAGCAGCTGTAATTCTTGATGAGAGTGATTTTAGCGGCCGAAACCTTGGATTGGAAATGCTGGAAGCAAATTCGGTGGAAGTCACACCAGAAGTGGAAAGGCGTGTTAATGAAGGCTTTAAAGCATGGATGGGGTCATCCCTTCTCTCTTCTGATGATGAAGATGAACCAGACAGTTATTTGGAATCACCTCAAGTAACCCGAACTAGTTCTAACCGGCTGAAGGTATAATCTTTAAATCAAGTGAGTCTGACACTTAGGCGGTCTTTTCAAGGAGTTTCTCAGTGGCAACATCTACAGTGAATGGATTTCAGTTTTGGATCATCAAAAGCCTAATTTGGTCCTACAAGTGCCATATTAGATGAATGTCTGCTACTAGTAGGGCTTGGATGTCCATTTCACTGTAATTCTTCTTGTTCTTACTTTTAGGTAACATCAGTAGGGTGTAAATAATTTGACAACAGTTTTCTCCTTTTATGTTGTAACCCAAAGTCATGGAAAAGAAAAGCGTTTAGGTGAACATCAATTGTTAGTATATTGTGCTTCTAACCAATCTTGTGTGAAGAAGTCTTACGACCAAAAGCTGGGCAGTCATATGTTTGTTTTCCTAAACCGAGTTTACTCTCTGTAATTGATATGGGGATGGTGTGGGTCTCTGTGAAAACTTCTTAATCCCAGAAAAGAAAGATGTCCATCAACGGATTTTACAAGAATAAGGAGCAATTTTCGCCCCTTTTATTAAAGCTAGTGGTTGTCTTTCCTTAACATGATATAGTATACTTAATGTTTATTAGTGACTATGAATTATTATTTGAATATACTTAATGTTTATTCTTAATATCAAATTAGATAGTGGTTTGGAGTTGAAATGAGAACCATTAAAAAAAATTTGAAAATAACTTGTTGAAACTGGGTCTTATTGGAATCTAAACCGAAATGATTGTTTCCATTCTCGATTTGTTGGATCAGAATCGATGCTTTATAGAATCAAAACTATCGAGTCAGTGAACCGGACACCCTTAGCTTAGAGTCTTAAATAGGATGAGGAAACTAACCAGTCATGTTAATATTAAGACGATTTTTCAAGGAAAAGATTTGATGGGCCTCATTGTGCAATGTAGGCCCATATGTTAATGCCCGTTGCTTCAATCGAATCCAACTGCTGTGCTTTGTCCCTTCACTAAACCCTAATCTCCTCCTCGCGCTCTGGTTCTACAGAGTCCCCATCTGATCTACCTTTACCTCACTCATCCATACAGATAGGGAGAAAGAACTCGAGCTCGAGACCTTGATCCCTAAAATTCATCAGCGGCAATAACCAACCATGGCAACTGGCTACGAGTATGAAGACGCCGCAGCCGCCGCCAATTATGATGAACAGAGTGGTTCTCACCGGCAAGACCTAGGTTATGACCCGAATTTCGTCCCCGATTCGGTGAAATCGTTCGTGGTGCATCTTTACCGCCACATTAGAGAGAAGAATGTGTACGAGATCCACCAGATGTATGAAACCTCCTTCCAGACCTTATCAGAGCGCCTCTTCAAGGAAACTCCTTGGCCTTCTGTTGATGCTGTGGCTCACTATGTTGACAATGATCACGTTTTCTGCCTCCTCTACCGTGAGATGTGGTTCCGCCACTTATACGCGCGTCTCTCGCCTACTCTTAAGCAGAGGATTGATAGCTGGGACAACTATTGCAGCCTTTTCCAGGTATTGTCTCTCATACCTTTAATTTCCTGCTTGATATGGTTTTCTCATACTTACATGGGCATTTTTTTAAATATGCATGTGCTTGTTTAGGTGGTGTTGCATGGAGTGGTGAATATGCAGCTGCCAAACCAGTGGCTGTGGGATATGGTGGATGAGTTTGTGTATCAGTTTCAAAGTTTTTGTCAGTATAGAGCTAAGATGAAGAACAAGACTGAACAAGAAATTGCTTTTTTGAGGCAACATGATCAGGTGTCCTTTTATTATTGCTTTTTAGGAGTATTGTTTTGTTGATTTATTCTGGAAGTATCGTGTTACCTTTCATACATTAAAATTTTGAAACGACTTATTAAAATTACGGACTTGGTATTATCACAGGCTTGGAATGTGTATGGCGTGCTTAACTTCTTGCAAGCATTGGTGGAGAAGTCCATGATTATTCAGATTTTGGAGCAGGAGAAAGAGGGTCTTGAACAGTTTACAGCCACTGATGGATATGATTACAGTGGTGGGAGTAATGTCTTGAAGGTTCTGGGATATTTCAGCATGGTTGGTTTGCTACGAGTTCATTGCCTTTTAGGTGACTATCATACTGGCCTGAAGTGCTTACTTCCCATTGACATCAGTCAACAAGGTGTTTACACCAGTGTTATAGGAAGTCACATAACTACAATATATCATTATGGTTTTGCTAATCTTATGTTGCGGAGGTATGTACTGCCTTAATTTGTTCGCTTGCAAATGTTCCGTTAATCCTTCTCCCCACTTCATTAGTTATTTAATTTAGTTGCACAGTTATCGTAAGTGTTCATCATTTTGGTTATCTGGTTATGTGAATTTTCTTGCAAAGTTTGTAACTTGTAGTACTTTTAGAAGCTATGGAAAGTATAAATAAGTTGCTCAAGTTTCCTGACATATGTGCAATTGAGGGTCGACAGTAATACTAAGAATAAAAACCAGTTTCTCTGCTACTCTAACCTTTGCATCCCTTCTGCTTCCACTTTCAACCCTTTTCCTTCCCCAACTTAGGGAGGAAGACACAATCTCTATATTATGTTCATTTTTTCTTGTTGAGTGGTTCTATCGCTTTATAATTTTTTCTCATTTAAATCTTTCTAGAAATAACTCTATGCATGATTTTTTCACTTTACATAATGAGCTTGTCAAATCTTCTTAATTTTTTAAGGTATGTTGATGCCATTCGCGAGTTCAATAAAATCCTGTTGTACATTTACAAGACCAAACAGTATCACCACAAATCTCCACAATATGAGCAGATACTGAAGAAGAATGAACAGATGTATGCTTTGCTGGCTATTTGTCTTTCACTCTGCCCCCAAGTAAAGCTTGTTGAGGAGACTGTTAACTCGCAATTGCGGGAGAAGTATGGTGAAAAGATGATTCGAATGCAAAGATATGATGATGAAGCATTTGCCATATATGATGAGCTCTTCTCATATGCATGCCCTAAGTTCATTACACCCTCAGCCCCAAGTTTTGAAGAGCCTCTCGTAAACTACAATCAGGTACACATCATCCATGTTATCCTTTTTGATAACATTCCTTTCCCATCTCTTGACCATCTATCGTAACTTTTGAATTAAATCTGATGTTTACAAGGAAGAAATAATTGAGTTTGAATTGATCTATTTAATTAAGATTCACTTTATGTTATTGAAAAGAAAACCTGGTTATGGCATAGTAGAGAAAAACTTAGCTGTACCAGCAAGATACTTTTCAAAATTTTTTGAAAAAATGATAGTGGAAAAGAAAAGCGTGGGGGATATAGAAATTTTGGTAGTATACTAGGAATGCTACGGAATGGTTTGCATGAAAAGAAATGTCATCTTTCTAGCTAATGAAATTTTCATATTTCATTTGACAAGTTTAATATCACATTCACCATTCACTAGACTGTCTATATATGCTGTTGTGATAATCTGGAGAATGAAAATCTTCTAGTTCTTTTACCTTTCCTCTTTTACTATGCTGCTGATCTAAGCTCTCCTTCTCCTGGTTTGATAACTTTTGCTCGGTCGGTGTTCTCAATTCCTTTTTGTCCCTATTTGCATTTGTGTATGATTTACTAATGCTGGTTTTTTTTCACAGGATGCTTACAGATTGCAGTTGAAGCTATTTCTTTATGAAGTGAAGCAGCAACAGTTGTTGTCAGGTGTCCGGACCTTCCTGAAGGTGTATTCAACCATATCTCTGGCTAAGCTTGCCAGTTACATGGAGGTGGATGAACCCACTCTAAGGTTAGAATAGCTTTTGGCCCTTCAATAACTTGTTTGTCAGGTGAGGTTTTAATTTGCTGTCACATTTTGCAGGACTATCTTGATGACATACAAGCACAAGACTCATGCTGTTGATTCTGAGGGAAAGATAATCTCTAATGCTGATGTGGATTTCTATATTGATGATGTATGTTATTTTCTGTGTGATTATTTCATTATGATTTTTTGGAATACTTGTGCTAAGTTCTATTTTATGAACTCGTATCATGTCAAGTTGTTGTTGCATAGTATCAATATTGGATTCTTTCTGGAAGGAATTTACATATTGCAATATCCAAGCTGTCTCTAGAATTTTTGTCAATTTCAATTCACATGCCTCACTTTTTACCTCAAAATTGAATTGAATGATTTTATAATTTTAACATATGCGTTGTATTTTTTTTTTTTTTTTTCAAAGTCGCATTGACCCGTGGGGAAAATATCCCAATGTTAACCTCCTCCAAGAACATTAACTCCCACCAGTGAAAATGAAAGTGGAAATACATAAATGCACATTTCACGTTTTCGTTCAGCTAAATTGAATTGTAAAATCTGTTTTTTTCCAAAGACCCTCTTTCTCCTTATTGATCCAAGTGTGTTCCTTTAGAACAAAAGGTTTATCTGTAAAATATTGATCATACTTAACATGAGTCCGCACCTTTCACCTCCCCATTACGGCAACCATGTGCTTTTGCGAAGATAAAGTTATTTGCTTTTGAAAGTCATACTTGCCGATAACATTCATTAACACTTACTGAGCGGGCATGGAATGAAAATTCGTTTCTGATAAGATATTACCAATGTCTGTACCCTTCCTCGTTAATTTTTAATATGGTCGTGTTTTCATTGACTGGAATTTTTAATGTCTTTGGAATAATTCGAATTATCGAGTAGCTAACTCTCCCCCGTTGCTCATGCCCTACTTCTGCGGAGGGTTATGTTTGAATGAAATATCAACTACTTTAAAACCAATTACTTTTCGCCTAAAAAGCAATAATAATCCGATACCCGGGGGATTCATCCTTCCACATTGTTAATCTCATTGTTTCTTGTTGCCTTCCAATAATTTACAATGGTTCTTCGGAATGTTTCATTGTTCAGTTGGATTCCTTTATTGTCTTCATCATTTAATGCGCTTTGCGTTTTTTTTTTTTCCACCAGTATAGCTGAAATCCAGGAAAAACTTCTTAGATTACAGATAACCCTCCGATACACAAAAACGTCTTTGGAAGCCTATTTTTCCATTTCCTTTACTCTTTAGGTAAATAATGCCGACACAGGCCCAGGCCCTTGGCTTTGGCAAGGCTGCATAGTTCACCACCTTCCATGCAACACCACCTAAAACAAAGCCACATGCAATAGCCCTTTAAAGATATTATTAGTAATGTCCGGTCTCCCAAGGTTGTGTCAAGTCCCATGGAGCAAGCAAAACATCTCTATCCATCCAAGCACTGGGAAATATGAAAGTGTGTTAATTTAGGATCGACACCACCCCCTAGTATCCTATCTGCTTGGGAAAAAATAGGGCTGCAGTTTGCTTTTACCAATATGAGTGTAAGGGTGGCCCACGCTAACAAAACTCCCTACTCGCCCTCTAATTGTAAGAGTAGGCGAGTGAAGACAAGCAGCTAAGCCTATATTATGTTTGTGGGTGGCCCTTTACGAAAACCTAAACACCTTTGTGTTCTCACGTTTTCTGTTCCAGGGGTGAAAGGTGGAGGCATGAATAAAACTGTGGCTTGAGGTTCCAACTTGACAAATCTCTTATGGCTCAGAGTACCAGGGCCAACATTGCAATTTCCATATTAGCAGAAGGCCAAGGAGTTTCCTAAGAGGCATTGCGGTACCATCTATGAACAAACAGGAATCAGCTAGGCGCCCAAAAGGAACTCCCGGATTTTTGTCACCTGGTTGAACCATTCTTTGGTCTGAGGAAAAATACTCGTATTAAACAAATTCCATTCCTTTTAACTGGGCTGCTCTTTGTTTCTAGATGATTTTCGGCCTATATGATGGGAATATGTAATTGGATGATGTCTAACCTACTTTTGACCTAACGATTTTCACCGAATCGGGGGACGATGAAAGTTATCGGGTTCATTTAATATACCTTAGGTCTTCATCTTAGTCGGCGCAGGTTGAAGTATAATGGCCACTCCTGTCTCAATCATAAATGGCAGGCGCTTGGGTTGCCTCCTTAGAGTTCTGAATGCGGAACAGTCTTCATTTACTACTGTTTAGGCACAAGCCTTTTGCCATTGGTTTTTTGTGTCTATATGCCGTGCTGATTTGTATATTGGTGAGCATGAGGTATACAAGGTCTTCAGAGCTTATCTGGGAGTATCTTTTTTCTCCTCCTTTCAGAGTATCTGTGAGTAGGATTGAGTTGATTTTTAAAGGTAATAAGGTATTAGATGTCCAGACTCGGAATTATCCGAGAGGCCGGGACTCGTTTTCTCTTGATAAGAAACCAGTATGTTCGCTTTGGTCCAACTTCAAATTCCACCATCTGCCACTTTTTTTAGCCCTGGCCAAAAGGTAAAATGTTAGTTAGGAGTTGTTAATTGTGAATTTGGACAAAGTGCAAATTCAGACAATGTTGTGATTCGATTGTTTAAGAGACCCAATTACGGCAATTTGACGACATGGGTTTAATTTTGGTTTTTTGTCTATTCATTTTTGCACATTTTTGATGAGGTCACCCTTTATCCATATACATATTTCATTTTTTCTCTTTCTCGTTAGGGAGAAAAAAAACTTTTCCGTCCGACTGAAATCATTTATACGTACACTGGACTGAGTGGATGTAGTTTCCTTATTACACCCTAATATTTAATTTTGAAGATCTTTACTTATTAGTAAGCTAAAAAGTGGGCCCTGTGTCCAGTTCAGGTTTCTTCATACTATGTTTTCGAAACTTCAGAGTATAGTGTATTTATAAACGTTATTTTGCTATTAGTCAAAGCAAAATAAAGGCCATTCATGAGATAACAAACAAAAGGATCGAATTGTGAACCGTCTTATGTGATGAATGTGTGAAATGCGAAGTCTTCCGAATCATTTCGGTTTAAGCCATGCACGAGACCTAAGACCACGGAAAGCTTTTGTGGCAACAAAGTGTATTTTCAGAAATTTTTTTTAATGGTTGGCTCAGTTTCCAAGCGGTTACCCCCCTAATTTAGTTTTCTTCCTCATACTCACTATTTATCCCTCCACTTTTTTGATATGTTTTCCTTTGGTAAATGAAGTGACCATAGTAGAGAACCCTGTGATCAAGTATGGTACCGTAATTATAGTAATTCTTATCAATAAATTGACATGTGCAGATGGGTCACGTCAAGTTAATACAGAATTAGAGATATTACTATATCATGTTGACCGAGTAAAGGACAACCCACTAGCATTTATATGAGTATAAAAATAGAGTAGAGTCCTGGGCAGTAAAGAAAATTTGCTCCTTATTCTTGTAAAATTGTTCACCCAGTTGTTGTTTATTAGGACAGTCTATGTAACAATTGGGTTATCTAGGGTATTGATTATACATCTATCGAAAGTTCTCCTATCCAATCACTGGATATGATCCCCAGACACCATTACAGCCCATAGTACTAAAGATATGACTCTAGATGATGAGGTTTAAGAAACACCTCGGGTCAAATAGGATATTAACTACCTAACATATGGACTGCCCAAGCTTTGGTCGCTTAAAAGTGACCCTTCTACACTAGAAACATAATGTATGGTTTTTAGGGCCCAAGCTTTCCCAGGCGAAATATAATTACGGTAGACCACAATTTGTTAGAGGATTTTGTGGGATATCTACCCCCCTAAAACGCACTTTCGTTTCTTTTTGCACAATAAAATTGACTTTGGGGGTTTATACCACAACATAAAAATGGGGTAGGAAAAACTGTTGATTCATACATAATTATTGCTCGTGACACACCATAACTGAATATGTCTAACGCTGAGTAAAGTATGAAGTAAAGATATGATTAACATAAGTGAAGGAAATTAAACTAGGGCCGTTTTTTCGAACTAGCATTTGGTACAATTTCCAAGCTTTTGGCCAAACATTGGCCTTCCCTAACGAGTAGGTTGAATATGTTCCCTCACCATTCAGTTCCATTCTTTAGATTTGTATTGGCACTTGGTTTACGAGCGAGCCGGTGGAACCAAGGGGCCGGTAATGATATTTAGAGCTTATTGATGAATTCATATATAAGGAGGACTGTACCAGGAGTGCACATAAATCCTCCTAGGGCTTATTGGTAGGCCCTAAAAGAATCTTTGTTTGTCTCGGACTTTGAGAAATAGAGAACTTGCTGGCTTCTCCCCACAGAATGACTTGGAGGCCACCCCGCGAGGCATATTTTTATCCAATGGTGAGTCAAGGATTCTTCATATCCGGTGGCTATTAGTTCATTAATGGAAGATTGTATTAGTATGGTCCCATAATACCATTCAGATGCGGTTTAGGTTTAGTATGACGAATAATGTTTGGTCGATTGTTCCTTCCTATTTTATGGCAGGATTATCAACTTATGTAGAATGGTTTGGTTGTATAGGTTGACTTATCCTGGATGGTAGATTTTTTTAGGGTTGGCACCCGATTTGTTCGGGCCTTGGAAAATAACTGTCTGGTTCATCTTCATCATCAAAGAGATTTGTAGGAAGGAGAGGCCTTCGAGTTGACCCCATTTCGTCCATTAGCCCACATTTCAATTAAAAGAATCCATTTACAATACCTGATAAGTTTATCTTTGGGTCCACTATTTCAAGTCTCTTTTTTACCAAGGCTTTCTGTGTTATGTGTTTTGACGTGGGGCTAGCCACAACCATCCCGTTATTATTATGACTTTATCGCCAGGCCGCATTGTGCTCCCAAACAATCCCGAAGGTTTGGTCTAGAGGTCTTTCGGCGCTTTAAAAGGTCAACTCTTCCATCAAGAAAGCCAATTTACCCAATCTTATTGTTCTTCTTAATGTTCTCAGTTGACTTCTGAAGAGTTAATTTGGCGAGTCCCGCATTTATTAAAATTATGCAACTCCCTCCATGGCACTGGCTGCACTTATGTGGTAAAGAGGCAGAATCTCAATAAGCACCAAAATAACAATAGAGTAAGTTACAGAGCCAAGAAGACAAACTGACTACTCCCTAGTGTCAGGAGGCTTGAAAACCAAGGAACTATCGGCAGATAATGTGGCGGCGTAAGAGAGACCATGAATGGGGAGTTGATGGGGCAAATACAATATTCAAAATTGGAACAGGCAGCGTACTCCACCTTAAAAATCACATGGAAGAAAAAGTTTCAACAGGGGTATTCCAAATTAACAGAAACAACTTCGTTAACCCAAACAGTGCATGATTAATGTAAACAAAAATTTAATATGTGATAACTACAAATCCAGATATCTCCTTCCCTACAACTCCTCCTTGGAGCAGTGGACCTTGGATTGGATATTCAGAACGCGCATACTAAAGACACGAAGGCAAATTAGAATCAAACGTCTTTAATGATCCTGGAAAAACACAAGCATGCTATTTACTAATATATTGTTAGGTGATTCCTTTTCAGTATGTCCTGGCAAAAACTCTTCTAAATCGTGTTGCTCCCAAACTTACCTGCTTTCAATACTGGTATATAATTTGAATGGGTGCACCAAGGTCGTTGTGGCCCACAGGAATAAACTTTGCTTTGGCCCCGTTTATGTATGTGTTAATTAGTGTTAAGTAACTTCATCTCGATATCCACTTCCAAATTGCCCAAATAAGTATAAATATATTTTGTTAGCAAAATCGAAAGCAGCAGACAACACTAAGTTTATCTAAACAAAATACGTAATTCTCTCGATGGTAATCATTTATTAAAGAGGAACAAAAACATACTCACTCGACAATTTAGTAAACGCTTGTCTGAGGAGGTCCAATGTTTTTGGGGTTTTTATGTTCCTTAAGAATTACTATATATACACTCTCTAATTTCTTCTTCTGCGGAATTTTTTACAAGCGCAAATAGGGCTTCTCAAAATAACTGTGGCCGGGTTTGGTCATCTTTGACATGATTTTTTTGATTTGTGATGATTTCACTGGTTTGAGATTTGAGCAATAGAGGAATCTTAGTTAGATTAGAAAATAAGACATTAGGATGGGGAAGATTCTTTGAAATTAAGGTTAAGATTAGAAAACAGATTCAACTTTAATGTGGATTCCACTCTTTAAAATACTTTTACTATGATAATGCTACTCTAGAATTTTGGGCTTCACACGATGGGGAGAGTGAATATTGAAAATACATTCCTTACCCCAGAAATATTAAATTAGAATATAATATTAAAAACTAGAGTTCTATTACTTATATTAACTTAACGGTGACTGTGTTGAAAGTAGTATATTAAAGGATTTTAGTTCTCATGGACATTCTTGATCTGGTTGTACCACTTAGGATTAAGGGTTGTGTTGCTTCGAATAGGTATCTCAAAGAGATCTCATTGGCCAATCCTCCCTCCAAATTGATTATGACAGTTTGATAAGCATCGGAACTTTCCTCATTTACCCATTAAGGGTTTCATCCACATAGAGGTGCCGGGAGATATCACAATATTTTTTTCTACATAAAGTCGAAGAAAACCATTTAGGTTTTTACAACCCATTGCTCAGGTGTCCCATTTCCCGGTTGGAAGGTCACAACACCAGGCGAGGTGGCCGTGATTTTTTGATTATAATTAGGCTCTATCTCTTTAATCTTTCCTCCTTACCCGTGTATAAGAAAAAACCTATTTTAAATTTTCCCCCCGAGACTATTCTCTGGGTAAGCTTTATAATGGCCAACCCTCAGCACTACCCAGCCCATGCCCCCTTGTTTTTTTTTTTTTTTTTTTGGTACTCTCTATATTCTTTCTGAGAACTTTCACTTGATGGACTTTTACATGAGTTGTACCAGTAGTTAGTTATTCTAAAAATCCAGTAGTCTTTGTAAGTCTTTAGATTGAAAACTTGCTTTAGTCAAGGACAAAAAAAGGTTATGTGCATTTATTTGTTTGGCTCGAAGCAGCACTGGGAACTGGGTACTCTTAGTTCTCCTCATTTTTACTCTCCTTTTGTCTTGCTGACAGTGAGCTGTGATCATTTTGTTCTAATGGATTCATGCTGTTTTTTTCTGTGTTTATAGCAGTCATGATATTTTAGAAATAATATCTGGATTAAGAATGGTACATAAAGTAAATGTAAAATATGTTACTTTCAACAAATTCTTTGAAGGGATAATGAGTATTCTAGTTTAGATTCTCGCAAGATTTCTCTTATACTGTATTGAACATTTTGTTTTGCTTCAGGACATGATTCATGTAGTTGAATCAAAACCGTTGAAGAGGTATGGTGATTACTTTTTGCGGCAAATTGTCAAGGTATGAAGTTTATATTTTAATGGCTTCTCTACTTGTCACTTTGGCCAAACATGTCAAGAAGTGATTTTCTCCTTTGTCTTTTTGTTTTGGTACACAGCTTGAAGGCGTGATAAATGATATGGATCGGATAAAGCTGGAATGAGGCCTATAACTTTGTAGAATGTGTCTCCGTGACTTGGCCGAGATTTTTTTATCCATTGAAATTTTCCGCATATTCTTTTTGAATTTAGTGCAAAATGGTTAGGTTTGAAATGTAATTTTCTTCTTATTTTATGCAAGGATATCAACTTATTTAGAATGTTGTAAGGTGACTGGTGTAGTTTAGGTGCACTTGTGGCTGAAAAAGATTGAAGTGCTTTGTAACAATCAGAAATATCAACGGATAAGTGTTTTTGTCATAATTTAAGTTTTATTTGGCAGCAAATGCTTAAATGCGCATGTCATTGACTAATTTTGGGATGGCAATTTCTATTTTAGGTGGACTGTTGCTGTGTTATTGGCTTTCTTACCTCCTCTATTGTTGTATGTTAAAGGAGAAATAATGATAATCTGCAGTCCAGGAGTAACTGCTGAATATGTTTGTGCTGGCTTGGTGTTCTGATTGATGGTGCACAAGTTGCTATTGTCACGGAGTTAATCTCTGCCTTTAGTAATTTTAGTTATGTTTTTCAATTGCAAAATAAAATTTTTATGAAGTATTAATATATTCGATGTTTTAAGAGACAAATAACAATGAAACGCTGTCGAGAGCAAGTTTTGTTTATTTCATTAACTACTACTGAATTTCACCAAATAGCTTCTAAAATACGCGTTTGGTCTTTGATTGTGTTTTGACGTGTGAAAGCTTGTCAAATAGACTGGAAGTTCTTAATAGTAGATAAACATCACTATTGACCTATTTATCATAATTCTATTATTTTGCTCTGAATAATTGAACTCTCATTAAATAGAAAAAAAATAAAATAATAACTATGTTGAAGTAGTCATGACTCGTGAGACCTGTGTGGTTGAATGTTAGGTCTCTGCCTTCTCCTTTGTACATTCTCTAACTCCCATCACATATTTATCAGGTGCCCGGGATCCAATTTTCAAAAGGAGAATATAGCTAACCCATCTCGTCAGTGGTCACACACGGTGCCTTTTTTTGTATAATTTATATCTCTATCTCCCTCCTTCAAGAATATAATTACCGTCTCTGTTTGGCACCACACACACCCAAACAATTGCTATCAACGCATAGGACATCGACCCTCCTCCCTCCTCTTTTATCTAAAGCGTTAAAGCAATAGCCCTTCATTTAAAATGGGAGAAGAACTTGAAAGAAGATTATCTCTATCTCTATGCATACTGCTTCTGCTACTTCTACTACTAACATGGACTTTGATTGTTCAACACAGGAAACAGCAAGAGCAGCAATGGTGAGGTGTGTAAGATGTTGCTTAAACAAGTCTATGAAGATTGTCAACCTAATAATGCTCTTCTTTGGGATTGTATTGCTCATTTACTCGCTTTGGATGACCAAGGAGTGGCATATATATCTTACCCACCTTCTTCCTAATTCATCTCCTCCAAGACCATGGTAGATATTCTCTTTCCATTTACACACATTTCTTGAAGCTTGACTTACCTATGACTTTATTTATTTGATTGGTTTTCTTAGCTGGTGTCTTTAGGGCACTGGTTAGAAATAATTGATAAATGACAAAATAAATAACATCTCTACTTCATAATTTTGATTTTCACTTTTCTTTAATCCAACTCATTCGTGAAGTTTAAGTTTATCTCAATTGGCTGTCTTAGAGAATCCAGTTAGAAAAAGCCTTTCTTTTTTCTGTATGCTATTGATAGACTATCAAGGACTCGATTGTAATTTACCAGGGATCTGATTGCCAAGGAGTTATCAGTAATTTTTCACCTAGATAATTACAGTCAAATTCAAATGTTAGGATTTGATAGTTTTTAATTGCTTGAAGAAAAACCTCTATTCTCATTTCAGTTCTATGGAGTGTATTAAAAGGAAGTACTTGATAATTCTTGTTTATGTTTTGCAGGTTTATATATGCAAGTTTGGGTGTGGGAATTGCAGTTTGCTTGAGCACTCTCTGTAGTTATATGACAGTTATTTATATAGGCAGTTATACTCTTTGTTCAGTATCCTTAATTACTTACCAATAAGCTTAATATATTTGATATCTCCAAATATTCACTAGAAAAGTACCCAAAAAAAAAAGTACCTTGACATAGTTCTGCCAATTTTCAGTATATTTTCATTCTCTGCTGCCCTCTTTTCCTTGAAGTAGCTGCTGTTGTCATAATTTTCTTCAAGATGGATATCTCTGCGGTATGTGTGTCTATCACAATTAGCTTCATATTTAGACTAATCATTCTCTATAAACTTCTTTAAATGGAAAATTTTTTTATTATGTTCCTCAAGTTAGACTAGATGTAGCAACTACTACATTTGTTCTGAGCTCATTTTTATGTCTAAGACCCTCAATTCTTAGCCATTGTTTCTTTTTCCTTGTCTTCTCCTTTGACAGCAAATTGCTGAGAGTATAGATAAGGAACATAGCGAAGAGTTTGAGAGATTTGTGAGCTTACATCTCAAGATAAGTCGAGTAATTATTCTGTTGATTTTGGTATTACAGGTAATTTTTAACTTCTTATAAGGCAAAAGGCACCCTATCGGTTATTTAAATTATTGGTCACAACTAACTATAGCTATATCAATATTTAGCTGTTTGGAAACTTAAAACTGCTAAATTACCAAAAAAACAGTTTCAACCTAAATACTAAATTAGGTTCCATTTGGTTCAATTGGTTGGAGCAAGCATTTGGCGGTTAAGACACTAACTGCTGAATTTAAGTGTTACCTTGTTAACCTTTTTTAATAATAGCTGTTAGATACTTAACCGCTAGTTAGTTGCCAACAGTCAGCTGCTAATAACTAAGTAGAACGATTGAACCAAACCAACCCTTATCAAATTGTTCTCAAGTTAGAAAAGAAAAGGGAAATGCTGATGTTGGTAGAGTCATTTTGCAGATAAAAGCTGTTGCTCTTGCTGTGATGTTCTGGGGAATAGGCACAGAGCCAATGACATGTGGCAATCGGTCGTACGAATATCATTTTACTCAATCATTTCTGGTGCCTAGATTTCCTGATCCTGATAGTTCAGTGCAAGCTTGTACTTGTACAAGATGTGAAAATTTACAACAAGAGAATCCACAACCAGGCATTTTACCAAAGATTGTTGGTATAACAAGACACATATTTCAAAGAGATCAGTTGCTTGTGTAAGTACACAAAATTTTGAAGAATGCTCTTATGATAAAAAAAAAAAAAAAAAAAAAATAAGTCTTTATTGATAAAAAAAAAAAAAAAAAAAAAAAGGACCAAAAAAAAAAAAAAAAAAAAAAAGGACAGATCGGGCACAAAGCTCCCACTATGTGGGGTTCGGATATAGGTCGAACCGTTATGGATCCATTGTACGTAATCTTATCTTACATTTCAAAAGATGTTGTTTTTACAACTCAAATCCATAATCTGAATTTCAAGATCCAGGACGATAACTTCAAGAATGCTTTAATGATAGAGTTGAAAAATTATTAAACAAAATTTTTTCACAAAATTTTATTATTTATATTATTGCAGTTAATTAGAGATTGGGACATGGTGCTCCCAAATTTTTTCTTCTTTATCAAATTCTCATGGAATGTCATTCACATTTTATTAATAGTTCTTTTAATATTAGATTAATCTTAATATTTTAGTGGGAGAATTAAGTGCAAATTATGTAAGAGAATTACATATATTTACATATCATATATTATATACTATATATAATTATTAGTAATAATATGTTTAATTCTTAAAGTGCATTTGATTGGAGAATCTTAATCTTTATTATTTATTTTCTTCTTTCATTTCCTCTCCTTTTATAATTTGGAAGAAAAATCATTAGTAATTTTCATTTGGATTGAGGAAAAAAAATTCCCAATGGTGAAGTCTTTTAAAAAAGGAATTGAAAATGGTCTTTGACCAATTTATTTTATTTCTATATAACAAACGTTTAATTCTTAAGTGATTTGTTGAGATCTTAATCTTTATTATTTATTCTTTTTATTTCCTCTCTTTATAATTGAAGAAAAATCATTAGTAATTTTCATTGATTGAGAAAAAAAATTCAATGTGAAAGTTAAAGGAATGAAAATGTCTTTGACCATTTATTTTATTTCTATATAACAAACATATATTTAAATATATATATATATCTGTAAAAGAATTTTTCACTAAGGTTCTGTTATTTCTGTAATATAACTTGTAAGAAAATATTTTTTATAATTTTCCATTGTTTGGGACGCTCAGAAAAATAAGTCAACGGAAAATATCTTATTTTTCTGATCAAAGGAAAATTAAGTCATTTTTTTAAGGAAAACAACTGTTCATTTTCAAGAGAGTAAAATATTTTCCGAATATTGGCAAATCTTAGAAATTTATATTTTTTAATTAATTAATTCTTATAGTCACTATCACCGGTTACCATTTATTACCGGCCACCGGCAGCTTTTATAATTTATATATTTTTGTCATTCTTTTCATATTTAACAATAAAATTTCTATTATTATTAGTATTATTTTTTATACTCTTACGAGAAAAACTTTAATATTTTTAACTAATTTTCAATATTACAACCAAACAATGAAAAGTAAGTTATTTGAAAAATAATTTTTTTGAAAATATTTTTCAACAAGTAATTTTACAAAAACAAATGGAGCCTAAATAACTCAAATATGTAACTAACTATTAATATACATTTAACTTGTTTGAAAACTCACAATGTGTTATTTAATGATTGGCTAAAATCTTAATAATTTAATTTTTCTTTCAATATTTTTTATGAAAAAACCAATAATAAAAAAATAACTTTAATATTTTTTAATCGACAGCTTTTGTCATGCTGAATCTCTAAAGGTCGAGAATTGAAGAGGATTTTGTCTTATATCAACTAATTAATTATCATATATGTATATAACAGGAAATATAATTTAAAAAAAAAAAAGCCAAGAAATAATAAAAAGAACTGAAAAATAAACAGTGATTAGAGATCGTTTAGTAATAAAAACTAGATGTCCCCGAGTGGGACCATTCCAGCGGTCGTTTTCCCAGTAAATGCCTTGTCGTTTTAAAAGCCACAAGCAACGACAATCGAATGACAGGAGAAGCGTTTCCGTCCAAGAACTTTTCCTTGTGTCCACGGTTCATGGACGGAGAAAGAAAATCTTTTCCGCCGACGGAAAGATTTTTCACTGTACTTCGAACAGGGAATCTTTTTGCTGTAGTTTAAGCAGGGAGTCTTTTCCCTTCCATGAATGACGGAATCTTACTGGAAAATCGAAGGAAATTATACATTTTGCATCTCACCATTTGTTTGAGAGTTATAGAGGAAGGAGGGTCTCCAGCAGTCATTAATGGCCTATTGCCGGAGACGTTGCTCGGCGGTCATCCACCGAAAGTGGTGCTGGTCAGCTGGATAGCACCTCAATGTATCTCAGAGTCGACCCCTTCCAAATTTTAGTTAGGGAAAATTATTATTTAGTCCCTTAGGTTTGACATAATTATCTAACTAATCCCAAGGTTTGTGCTAATATATAACTAGTCCCTCAGGTTTAACTCCGTCTAATTAAAAAGTCCTTCCGTCCGAAAAGTAGATTTTTTTCCGTTAATTGAAGACTAAAAGACTAAAACACTCCGTCTAATTAAAAAGTCCTTCCGGTCCAAAGTAGGATTTTTTTTCCCGTTAACTTTGAAGCACCCTAAAAGACCTAAAAACACCCTTCTTCTCGCTTAAGTGGCCAGGTTTGGACCCTTGTCGTTTCCCCTCGCTTTAGAGGTCCCATACTGGAAGGTCAGATGTGGAGGTGGTCCTATTCTCCCAACTCTTCCTCACGCAAAAAAACGTCTACCTCATTCTCCAGTGGAGGAGTGTTGGAAGAATTCTTTTAATGAGAAAAATCGATTGCTTATTATTGACGAAATGCAAATGAAAGCTGGTCATCAGCATGTAGCTGCTTCGTTTTGCATGGAATCCAAGATCCACGTCTTAAAGGCTTTTGTTTTTGAGGTAAAACTACCCACCATACTCAAGAATCCCACCTTCATTTTTTTGCTTTTTGAAAAAAAAAAATGAACAAGTCACATTATTATTTGGGGGAAGATGTTATTGATGATGGGATTCTTTGGGGATATTTTGAAAATTGGGCTTTAAGGCATCGTTCAGATTGAGTTGTTTTTGGTGTAAATTGATAATGGATTGAACGGTTTTTTTGCCAGACGATAATGCCTTTTTTTGTAACACAATGTTGTTAAAATTACAATGTTTAGGGAAAACTGAATTTGATGGACTTTGCCCTGGGATGTAGGAAAACTTGAATTTGATGGCTTTGCCTGAAAGTTACACCATTGGGGTCATATATGAAGGGGATACAGTGTATTTGTATGATGCACAACCTGACAGAATGAGTTACATTGTCCTCTTACAAAATGTATGCAAAGTTCACAAGATAAAAAATGGGAATGTGGATATTACATGTTCTGAAAATTATAGAATAGAGAATGATGCAGACGTTACTCTAATGTTTGAAAGATTCAAGGACACTGATTATATTGAACTGAATTTGATTAGCAGGCAAGGTGAACCGAGTGTTGTTATGCCAAATGTGTTCTACAGTCAGGTGGCAGATAATATAAGTTTACATAATGAAAATTTGCAGCCTAATAGGGAAGTTCCAGGCAATGGTGTTGGGGAGGCAGAAAGTAAGAAAGTTAATTATTGGGTCACCAAACTGAGATAAGTGGGGATGTTTGGACGATGTGAACCATCTTATTGAAGCAACGAAAAATGTACGGTGTTGGGAATTGGACAATACAAATGGTTTTACAGGTAGGTTTGGTAAGGGGAAGCGGGAAGGGCCAAGGGAAATGTTGATGGGATTTTTCCATAAAGAATGTGGGGGGGGATTAAATTCTTCTTTCTTTTCCCCCCTTTTTTTTTTTTTGGTGTGAG